GGTCGTATCGGAGGTCCGAGTATCTGTCCTCTCCGCACTGGTGGCTGCCCAAAGCAGAAAAGAAAGGTCAGGCGCTGAGTCCAGATTGCAGCCCGTCATTTTATTTCATACCAACCTCAGTCTTTCTCGTATAAACGCCCTTCTACTGTCGATATGCTAAAGACACACCTCGGGCTCAGGTCAGGCCTGCGCACTACGCGGAAGGGTACGAAGGCCTTATTCGAGTTTATTAAAGTATGGAATAAACACGGGGCAGTTCGTGTCCAAGTGCCGGGGACAACCGAACCACGCGCGTAACGCGACGCGGGCGGCGGCGGGCGGGAGAGCCGCGCTCGGGCGGGGCGCCCGCCTCCCCCTTCCCTCCGCGCACAGGGCGGCGCATCCCGACGACTGTGACCCTCGGGGGCCCGTCTCAGGCTCCCCCTGCAGGGGCAAAGCAAGGCTTGTCCCAGCCGACCTGCTGCACAGGCTCAGTCTCCTTCCTTCTCAGTGACTTCACTCCTCAGTGCACTTTGTTTGCAGATTTCATGAAACTACTAGAGAGAGACGCCCAAGGTTGGGCACCAGGAGGTGGCTCACCGAAAGCCCCCGTCCTCTCTCTTGGTTGTCAGGGAACCCAGGAGACAGGTCCGGGAGAACTTCAAGCTCAGGGCAGCCCTATCTGAACAGCAGGTTAAACGCATGGTCCTGGCTGAGGGGCATGAACTGAGGGGAGTCTATAACCAGAGCCTATGGCCCCAAATAAAGTCTCCTCTTTTCCCTGTGGCAATCTCCATGTGTAAAGCACCTTCTAGTCTTAACCAAGAAAGAAAAAAAAACAAAACGCTGGTAATATGGCGTATTTAACGGCTCCTTTCATCTTCAAAAGCTAAATGGGCGAGATTTTCCTTCCTTGAGTTCAGCAGATGCAATCCTCGAATCAAACAGGAAATGCAAATCAGCCAGGCTTATTACGCTATTTGATATTCCCGTTTACAGAAGACACAGTTTTATGCTGGGCAAACAAACTAATAGTGCCCCTAGTGCTAATTCACTCTTCCTAAGGTGGACCTGGAGTTGATTTGATGTAAAGCAAAAACTAGAGCAAGCACAAACTCCTCTGCCTTCCACTGTGTCATTTTGAATTTTTTAGTTTACATATTAACCTTTTGGGATAGGCTGCTCTTCCTTTGCCATCAGGAAAGAGTTGACATTCTCTTCTAGCAAAATGCCTGAATAAAGCTGGTTCTCGTCCACCAGGAAGCCAGGCACCAAGCTGAGCGACTCACCACTCCCTGCACACCAGTCAGCTGTCCCTGGGCTTCCGAGAGGTTTCCCTGTGATGTCTCCTCAGTGGAACTCACAGTATTTTTTGGCCCTGCCCTTTGCCTGTTCTGAGGGTCACTGGGTATGTATGAAGGGCATGGAGCGGTCCAGCAGGGCACAGCTGGGCTTGGGACTGGACAGACCTGGGTTTAAGGTCTGGGCCTGTCACTATCTGCCTGTGTCAGCTGGCAGACCCACGTCATCTGTGAGCCAGTTTCTCGCATCTGTAAGTAGGGACAAGTTATATTTATTCTTTATTTCTCAGGATTCCTTAAGGATCAAAATGGGGCATTCTGTCTGAATTACTGTTCTGTGTTTATTNCTGTTTATTTCTCAGGATTGCTTAAGGATCAAAATGGGGCATTCTGTCTGAATTACTGTTCTGTGTTTATTTCATGTCTCACTGTGGGGACCTTGTCTCCTCACCTAGTTAAGGTGGGCTGTGGGGACTGAGGGCCGTCCTTCCTTCCCTCGCCTAGTACTCTGCCCTCTGCTGCAGACAGAAGAGCCAGTAAGTGTTTGTTAAGTAACTGAGCCTCTAAAACTACTCCAGCCAGCACAAATGTAGTATTGGATATTTATTTCTAATTTCAACAGTAGTAAATTAGAATCTAAACGTGCAGGAAAACGTCTTGCATTGGACCAAATGAGGGCACGGTTTTAGGGCTTTCCTTGCACTCAGATACAGGTAAGGGTGGTGTAGGTGGAAGAAAAAGATAAGAGTGCCTCAGTTACAGCTTCCGGTGAACAGAGTATAAAACACTTTTTAATGAAGGAAGGTGCTGTTTCACCATATCTGTGATGTGTTGAGTGACTTCAACTCTCCTCACTGATTTGCTGGACTCAACAGAATTTAACTTGCCTCGCCCATCTGCTCACCCATTGAGATTCTACAGCTATTTACTGAGTTCTTACTAAGCTAGAGGAACACAGTGGTGGACTCAGCCGAGTGGGGGATACAAACAGGAAACAAGCAATTTACAGTAGGAGCGCAGGGGCCCCGACATGGGCCTGGGGCCCTCAGAACTCAGGAGGGGGCACCAGCCCCACCCCAGAGGTCAGGGAAAGCTTTCTGGAGGGAGCGAGGGCTTGGCTGAGGCCCAAGGCTAAGAAGGGCAGGAAATGTGCCAGGCTGGGACAGCATGGGAA